TTTTCTGTGTAATTTTTTAATTGAATTTTTGTGTATTTCATACAGAAAGTAATCTTTATACCCCTTTCCCCTTCGGCGCCCTCCCATCTCCCACCCCTCACTGCAATTCATACATTCTGTCACTTGTGTTAAGGCCTATCATGTAAAGTTAATACCCCCAGATGTCCCTCAGTGCAAGTTCATCCACTGGGATCTAGTCAGCCTATCTAGAGTGCCTCCCTTTAAGATCAGCTCAGGAGGAAGATTTCAAAGGAAGCCTGAACTATGTGGCAAAACTTTGTCTCAAAAAAACTAAAACTTGGGGCCAGAGAAATGACTCAGCTGTTAAGAGCACTGACAGAGGACCCAGTTCAGATCCTAGCACCCACATGGCAGCAAACAACCATCTGTAATGCAAGTTCCAGGGAATCCTACACCCTCTTCTGACTTCCAGTAGCATTGCAGGACATAGGTACACTTATACACATGCAGGCAATATACTTATACACATAAAACAAAAATAATTTTTAAAAAACAAACTTAAAAATGAAAGGAAGGGAGGGAAAAGGACATAGAGAGAGAGAGAAAAAAGAATGGAGGAGAGAGAGAGAGAGAGAGAGGGAAGGGGAGGGGAGGGGAGGGAAGGGAAGGGAAAGGAAGGGAAGGGAAGGGAAGGGAAGGGAAGGAAGAGCAGAGCTTATTTCCCCCTGGCATAAAGAGGTCCACAAAGTTCTTTTGTAAGTCACTCTAATTCCTGCCATAGCCCAAAGATAGTTTGGTTCTGGTTTTTCCCTGAGCCCAGGATCTAACATTTGAATATAGACATCTGAAGAGCTTAAGTCATCTGTCTCAGAGGCTCTCAAACTTGAACATACCTACAAACCAACTAGAGAGGTGGTAAACCCGTTTTCTAAGCTTCAATGTTTAATTGAATGGACCTGGTCTCTCTTGTCTAGTAAGCTCACAGTGACGGTGGTTGTGGTTCCAGGACCATGCTTTGAGAGCCTTAGAGCCACCTATTTATGGAAGACATCCTTTTGGCCTGGGAATGACAGGCTAAAGAGCTCAGAGACTTCAATGGCCTCAGCTCTGTGGGCTTCCCCAGCTTTTTGAAGTGAACCCTAGTCTGCCTTTCTGACTCACACCCTCTCCACCTTGTCCTCATACAGGCCCCTGAGAGAGTCTGCTTTCCTGGACTATGATGGTTCCATCCTCCTGGAATCTGTTAAAATCTCAAAAGGCCCAACCCATGCCAGGCTCACACAAGGCCTTCCTGGCAGCACAAGGAGACAGAAAATAAATGTAGGACACGGATAGGAGCTGCAAGCTTAGTTGCCACTTCCTTTGTAGCTACATTTGAAACAGTAAGATTTCACTTAACATAATATATACAAAATCTTAACTTTTCAACATGTCAGTGTCAAATTATTAATGTCATATTTGCTTTCTCTTCTTTAAATCTTCAGGATAGGTGTGTGTTGGGTATCTATAGCATACCTCACATTGAACTAGCCACTCTCAAATACTTAAGAGCCACAGGTCTAGTGGTGATCATATTAGACAGTATAGACACGAAAGTCTTCTCTCTGAATTCCCTCCCCCTTTTTACTGCTGCTCTTAGAACACAGCAATTTCCTCCTGTGACAGCTTGTCTGTTTGTGACTTGAGGTGATAGTTGTCTTTTAATGCTGTGTTTAATTCTCCTGAAGTGCCTAGTACTACCCTATGTGGAACATCAGATCAACCAGTGCTGGCTGATGAATGAAACTAGAAATACAGGAATATAGCGAGAGAAGGCTCATGGGAGCTTCTGACTTTATGGGTCTCCTCTCAGTCACTATGACACTCATTCCTCTGATTTGTGCCCAGCTAGTAGATCATAGAGAATAATTCAAGTTCTCAAGCCCTCCCTCCTTATAAGTTTCCTGTTTCACTTTACTCTGCTTTAAAAAAAAAAAAAAAATCCCACCAGGAGGGCCCAGGAAACAGGAAAAATAGTTGTGCTGTTGGTTTCATGTTTGGAGAAGAACAGGGTTTCACTATCTCCATGGCACTTGGCGTGAAAGTGGGCTTTGTTGCTGGAGACACTGCTCCCATTCAGGGCCCCCTTTCCCAGCTGCTGAGAGCCGGGCTGTGTTTTGACAGACGGGCCGAATGCAATGCAGACAGTTGTTTTAATTTCCAGCCAGATGCAGACATCACTCACAAGGAGCCCGAAACCCAAGAAAGGGAGTGATCGTTGGACTGCTGCTCCTAGGCCTCGAAGGGTAGACTGGAGGGGGCCATCAGAAGCCCATTGAGCACTGGGGTCCCAGATATCCTGAAAGACTATGAGCCATCAGACCTGGGCCTGGCACCCATGTCTCTAGGGGGCACCTGTTAGAAAGGTGCTTTGTGCAAGTGTTGCAGTCAGAGTAAGGATTGCTCTTTGGTAATAAGATCTGGATAGTCTTTCAACTGTCAAATGTACAGGTCAGAAATCATAGTCGAGCTGGGGCAAAGCACTTGCTATGCAAGCATGAAGACCTGAGTTCAGATCCTCAGGATCCATGTAAAGTTGGGCTTGGTAGCATGAATCTGTGATCTCAGTGTTCCTTCAGCAAGAAAAGGTGGAGACAGGTAAGGCCCCAGAAGCTCACAGGCCAGCTAGCCTGGTGTGCACATCAGCAAACAAGAGACCCTGCCTCAAAACAAGGTGAAAGACAAGAACTAACACCTGAGGTTTTCTTCTAATCCCGAAATATGCACTGTGGCTTATGCATGTGGTCTCTCTCTCTCTCTCTCTCTCTCTCTCTCTCTCTCTCTCTCTCTCTCTCTCCTTCTGTGCACATACAGAGATTAAAAAGTTAAAAAATAAATCATGGTCTCAGGGAGGGGTTGAGCAAACTATGAGAGATTGAGTCCTTGAATGTCCAAATTGGAAGGGACCACAGCCTTCCTCTCAGAGCCAAAGTCATTTCATAGCGTCCAGGATGAACATCACCCTGACTGCCACTCATCCCTATGATGGGTCGTATACTTTAGACAGAGGCTCTGTTGTAGATCAGACAGCCCTGACTGTCTTTCCCATTCTGACACTATATATCTATTTGGGTAGCCCATGATAACATCTGCCTCCCCTACAGGTCATATAGGGCTAAGAGCCAACTGAAACCTTCAGGTATATTATTCCTGAGATATAAAGAATTCTTGAGTTTTAAACCAACTGTTCCCCAACTATACTTTAAGTGTCCACTTTTTAAACTGGATTTCAAGCTTTTACACTTACCTTCCCTATGGCTTATTTTTACTGTTGAAGGAAGGTTTGATGCGTAAGGCTGAGTATGTTGTGATGTTAGGGTGAGTGAGCACACAATGAGAAAAGAATGACATACTGTCTCTCTCTGCTGCATCCGATGTGTAACCTGTACTCACACTCACATTAGACTGAACTGGTCTGTGACTACTTTTGCCCATGATATCCCTCAGTTTGGAATGTCTTTCAGGTCTGTGTATCTAAGGACTTCTCGTCCTCCTCCTCGCCCTCCGCATTCCTCCTCATCTTCCAGCTTTTCCTGTTCTTCCCTTTGCTTTCCTCTTTATGAGATGGGGTCTTAGTTTGTACTCTCTGGGCTGGCCTCAAATTCACTATGTAAGCCCAGCTAGGCTGTAACTTATGGATAATACCCCTATCTTGGCTCCCACCCCTAATTCCAAGTGCTGGAATTCCAGAAATTAGCCAAATGCCCAGCAGACTCATTCTTGTCCTTCACCCTTAAGTTCTTGGCCCCTTCCTCCTGACAGATTAGCCTGGGTTCCCCTCCTCTAAACTCCCAAGGTGCTAGTGCTCACACCAATCCCATGCTACAACACTGAACTTGACAAAGAGGAACTCTTGGTTGGTAGCTGTCAACTCCCCTTGACTATAGGCCTCTGCTAGGCCTGAATCTGTGCCACTTGCTGTCCAATTCTCTGTTGAACACCAGAACCTCCACAGAGCTAACGTCCAATGACATCCTTTGCTGAGTTAACTGACCCTCTGGGAATGATGCTGTGAGCATGTCTCCCTCATATCTTTGCCCCTCTGCCAGTGGCAGGGTACAATGTCATTGGGCCACAGATCATGTTTTCACCTGGGAAACTTTCAGCAAGTGGAAGTCCTCTACTGCCCAACGAGTGGGTTCATATTGCCAGCCCAGCATATGTTTCTGCAACTCAGAAGCCTCCTGCTCCAACCAGCAATGGCTACCTAAGACACGTCAAGTAGAAAACTTCCATCCTTTGGCCCCTTGCCTGACCTCTATTGTGATACATTCTGGACAGGTGAGGACAAGTGGTATCCAAATAGGCCCGACTCAGGCCCCTGAAGAGCCTTCCAGAAGGGCAGGAGTGGTTTCAAGGGTTGTCCCTCATGCAGGAACTTGATCTGCAAGTTTCCACTAAGTAGGCAAGACAGAATCAGACAAGCAGCTCGTCTCTGTGGAGGTTCCCATTCTGCCAGACTCTTCAAAGGGTGGGAGATTTACTAGAGAAACTGAATGCAGACATCAGAGAATGGGATAATTGGATCCAGGTGGTACACTTGGTTGGCTGTAAAACACCAATGCCATGCTATGAATATTATTTGATGGGAAAAGTTCCTCCCCTCCCCATGTGTGCTGCGCAGGCAGGATGTCACAGCCCAAGCCCAGCTGAAAGCTCTTCAGAGATGAGTCTATGCCATCAATAGCCTTTCAGCAGAGTTAACTGTTTTTAGCATGTGGCTGGGATGTACCCAACTCTTAGACACTGGTAGAGGAAGTAATAGACTGGAAGATTCACTTCCAATTTTGGCAAAAGGAGACCTGAGCTGCCATTCATATGTCTTTTGTTTAGGACTAGCCCTTAACAATGAGGTAGGAACAAGGCCCCTGTTTTGCCTCTAGTGTCGCTTCTTAGGGGGCATGACAATGCAGAGTGCATGGATGTAGGTGTGTTTTGAAAACACATCTTCATGTTGTTACAACCTGACCTCCCTGTGTTCCCTTTCCTCTCTCTGCCAGGTCACCAGGGTCCCTGTTGAGTCATGTGAGCAGTACACAACTTGTGGAGAGTGTCTAAGCTCGGGAGACCCTCACTGTGGCTGGTGTGCCCTGCACAACATGTAAGTTGGAATGTCCCAGAAGCCAGCCTGGCATGCACAAGAACGGGGACTTCCTGGTAAGATGGACAGGACAGCTGAGGAATTTCCCTCTTTTGAGCAGTAGTGATTGTAAATGAGATGCAATGTGGAGCGCAGGAAATGGTAGAGGTCTGCTTCCTATGCACAGTCCTTTGCCAGTCTTTCCTTCACAGGCACTTTGAAGTGACATGACATGACTTTGTTCTTCTGTCACTGAGAGAAATCACAGGGCAGCTGTAGAATCCCTAAATTTTCCAAAAGCCTCTTGGGTGTGATTGGACACTGAAGCCAGGCAAAGGCTTTTAGACCAGATGGTAGAGCACCAGAACTAGGAATTGCACTCTGGCTATCTGGCTAGCTGCTGGGTGACCCTGGGTGGGTCACCTGGCAGCTCCAGACTGCCATCTCTCCATTGCTTAACTTGGAAAATGCCTGTTTCACAGGTGAATTGTGAAGGCTAAATGAAATAATAAGTACTTTGGAAATAAAGAAGCCCAGAAGAGGTTACACAAATCAAAATAATTATTACGGACTCTGTACCCTAGGGAGGACCCTTCTGGCCTCGTTATTTCATGATTCCAAGAAGTCTGCATTGCATCCAACTGGCCTCATATCCCTATTCAGATACATCCCTACCATAGAACAACAGCTCAATAGAAATGCAAAATTACACTTAAACTTCCTAATTCGTGAAGCCACAGAGGAAGAGAAAAGGGTGAAACCCTGAAAGCGGGAGCTGGCCAGGGATTCTGTTGCCCAATAGGGTTGGAAATTCTGTGGCTCCATGCCAACCAGTACAGCGTCTCCACGAAATGTGCCCGGCTTCGGGTAGAGGCGGAGGCAGAGGGCCAGAGTTCAGGGTCCTGCACAATAGCTCTTGGCTTCCAGCCTCTGCAGCAGGTGTTGGAAGGGCTCTGGAGGGAGGGAGGAAGGGAGGGAAAGAGGTTGGGCTTTGCAGATGCAAAAATCTGGACTGGATTTGAGCCCACCAACACTGGGTTCCCTGCTTAGGTTTTAGAGGTAAGAGAGTTCTCAAAAAGTTTCACCAAAATGCCCTTTGGAAAACCAGGATAGTAAGTTTCCATGTAGGTCAAACAGCTAGTCAAGATGCTGGGGCCACTCACTGTGTCCAGGAATGGAAAAGCAGGTAGATTTACCTACCTTCAGTGAGGCTGACCCAACAGTGTGCAGACTCTAAGAAGAAACTCTAAGAATATAACAACCCACCCCCAGCCCTGTGGGGAAAGGTTCCAGTTTTAACCCTCTCACTCTGCAATGGCCACTTCCTGCAATGCCACCTACCTCTGGGTCCTCCCTACCCTTACCCTGCCTTCTAGATTATAGTGCCTGTGACAAATATCACATGCAGAATACTGAATCATAGATCCAGGTTACCATTTACTCACCAGCAAGGGCACTGCTCTTTTTAACTTGTATCAGCACCTATGGCTGGATCAGTGATGCCTCCATCTCTCAGGGACCCTAAACCGCCGTATCTTCCCACTGATCTGAATCAGCTGTGGCTTCTAGAATGCCTGAGCTCCAACAGAGATAACCCAAAGTTCCTCTGCCCACTGAACTCATTTGTCCTTAGCAAATCTTCCCCACCTACCCAGGCATACCTCTCCCACCCAGTCCACTTGCCAAACACTCATGGGGAACAGAAGCTGCACTGTTCATACTCACATTTCTCCTCATCTGGCATTCTTATCTTTGGCAGACCCTCCTGAACTGTCTTCCCGCTCACCCTCCCATCTGCCCAGCTAGAAGAGCAATGAGGACCCAGCCATTTTCATCCCAGGTCTAAAAGTCAGCCTCTTCTATGGAGGCAGAGAGCTGATGGTTAAAAGCCTCTGGTCCCGGGAGACTTGAAACCCTCCTGTCTCTTCTGTATGCCTTGTTCCTCCAAGTGTGTTATTGTCTCCCAAGCTATTTATCTCTGTTAGGGCTGTTGCCATAAATAGTATGATAAAAAAGAGCCATTTCAGTGAGTCAATGAGATAAAGGCTCTAGTCAAGAGCTCACTTTAGAGTTATCTTAAGGATTCACTTAAACCTCAATAATTCTTTCCTTTGACAGTGCTCATATTTAGATCCATTATGTGCCTGGAAAGGAAGAGGGGAGGAGCTTGGAGGAGTCAGGGTAGGAATCACTGCTTGATTGTGAAATGCTGTAGTGCCCTGTTTGATGACTATTTACTTTGGAACTGTACCAGCCCTGAGCCTGTTCCCATAGTATGCAGCAGGTGGCTGCACCCAGCTCCTAAGTCTGAGCATCACTGTGCCCACCTGCCACCATGGCCCAAAGAGCCTGGAGCCAGAGATAAAGATGTCAGGAGAAAGGGCTGTACAGGCTTTCTGCCAGAGGCCATCCTGGACACACTCCTTGTCTGTCTCTCTGACTCAAGGCATTATTTCATGACACAAACATTTATTTAAAATATACCATGTGACAGGTAGAATAGCTCAATGAATAAAACATGGCCTCTGCCTTAAAGAGCCATTAATCCACCCAAAGATCACATGCATCCTGTCTCACACTTAAGACCCTCTCCTACTTGCTAACATCTTTGAGGGGAGAATGATAATGTTATTAATCAGCATTATTAATATCAGTATCACAAGTGCTAACACTGGCACACATCCACTAAGTGCCAGGCTGCATTCTAAACACTAACTCACTTTACTCTTACAGCAGCCTGACGAAGATAGGGTATTGTCATCATCACCATTCTATGGTTGGGAAAACAGAGAAGAGAAAGACAGTAACTTACCCAGTGGGGCCCAGTTAGCAGGTCACAGGCCTAGTGTTAAAGCCCAGCACTCTGGCTGCAGAGTTCATGTTTACTGTCCTTTGCAAATCTCCAAGACTTACTCAGCTGAGCATCCCACAGTACTGGCATGGTGTTCTTTATACCCAACCTGTATCTAGGTTGGGAATCTTTCCCCTTCCTCTATATATCCTTAGCTTCCTGTGAGACTGATCACCTGGGAGTACAGTAAAAGTCACCCCAAGACAACAGGCTATGGGGCAGAAAACCTCTCTTACCAAGAGACAGTGGAACCCTGACTACTTGTGAATCTGGGCCCATGCAGGTGCTCCCGCAGAGACAAGTGCCAGCGGGCCTGGGAAGCAAATCGATTCGCTGCCAGCATCAGCCAGTGTATGAGCCTTGAGGTGCACCCCAGCAGCATCTCTGTGTCAGAGCATAGCAGGCTGGTAAGTATGCAGAAAGGAGGGTGGGAGCACAGAGAACACCCTTTTAATGCATGTCTATATGTAGATCAGACTTTCAGTGCTCCAGGGAGACTAGAAAACCCATGGTGATGCCTATTGTAAAGGATACAGTCACTCACTACACTTCTGTGAATTTATTGCCCACTGATCTGTTTTATAATCTAAATTTGCATTTAGCCACAAATGCCTGTGACATGATACAATACCAAGCAGTGTATTCTTAGAGTATGCTGTGATTACAGTCTTCTGTTTGTTATTTGCTCAAAAAAATCTCAGATTGCCATTGTGTTTGGGGGGAGGGGGACAAAAAGACAGAGAGTGGCATTAAAGAGAGACTGAGACTTGTTCAAAGTGTGTGCTTAAAGAGAATATTAACCATAATAAAATAGCCCTTAGTTACCTGTCAAGGTACAACCCAAAACATTCCATGTCCTCGGGCCCTGTTATTTCATTGTGAGGGTTTTATGATCATTCACAAATGTTAATTAGTTAAAGAAACTTCCACAGTTTCAATTCATTCATCCTTACCAGGCAATTTTGGTGGCTCCAGTGAAACTAAGAGAACAAGCAGGGTTTGGGTGTACCTACTGAGGACAGACTCATTGAGAAGTGCCCTGAATTCAGAGAAACATTGGTCATTAGATATTTTCTCAGTTAACAAATTTTTTTTGAAAGTCTCATTTTTCACCTAGACTAGAGACCTTAGGTAATAGACACTATCTGGCTATCTGTGACCCTTTCTCTGATACCCTGAGCCCTTGTGAACCTCCTTCCCCACCCTAGGGCACTGCTGGAAAGCAGAGAGCCTAAAGTAAACAGGGGAGCAAAACTCTAAGGATCCTACTACTCCAGAGTGAACCGGTAAGTGGCAGCTAGGGCAAGGAGTTACCATCTCCCACCAGCCTGGCTCCTGGCTAGCCTCCATCTTGGAAAAGCTCATGCTCCCAGGAACCCAGGCTGAGGCCTGTGATGAAGACCTCAGCTCATGACGCCCCCTGCAGGCTTTTATGGTGCTTTGCAATTAATTTCCATGTCATATCAATATTGAGCAGTCTGGGGTGGATGTTGGTTACCTGTCCCCCTAGTTCCTTGTACAACAAGTGTTTTCTGATGCTGGAAAAGATTAAAGAATTAACAATAATAATCTTACAGACCATTGACACCACACACCACAGAGCCATTTATTATTCTAACTGTTCACTGGCAGACCTGGAGGATTACCTAAACCAATGCCCTTCCCTTATAGATGAGGCCAAGGAGATCGCTGAGGACTAGGTCCTGGCAGGGAACCTGGCCTGGGGCCTGGGTTTCCTGAGCTCTTGCTTCTCCCACAGCTCAGCCTGGTTGTGAGTGATGCCCCCAACCTCTCAGAGGGTATCGCCTGTGCCTTTGGGAACTTGACAGAGGTGGAGGGGCAGGTATCTGGGAGCCAAGTCATCTGCATCTCACCTGGACCCAAGGATGTCCCTGTCATCCCTCTGGACCAAGGTAAGGGCTGTGTGTAGTGTGGTGGGTATGGGAGCCACAATACAAGCATGAAGCTACCTGACCAGTCTTTACATACCAGTCCCTAATATTGGCTTATGTAAGTTGTGGAGTTGAAAGCACTCTGCTGTGTCAAAGTGAGATTCAAGAAGGAAAATTCTTGCTCCTACTGAGTGGAAATTGTACAACATGCAGTTTGCCCACTGCCTGTCCCTTCAGGCATGGACAGGATTCCATCAATAGGTTTATTAGGCTCTCTTCACAGAACTGGGCTTGAGGAGTTCTGATCTAATATTCTGAAATTCTTTCAGTAGCTGAGCATGCCTAGCCAAGCCAAAGAAACTCCAGCGGGCCTGTTACTGAAGGGCAGGCTAGTACCCACCAAAGGGATGCTCTGAGGGAAGAGCAGGTTCAGGCAGACTCTCCCAACCATCTGCATGGTGGCTTTACAATATGCCTTTCTCCTCCGGGTATCAGGTTCTCACTCTCCTTTCTTTGCAGACTGGTTTGGCCTAGAGCTGCAGCTGAGGTCCAAGGAGACAGGAAAGATCTTTGTCAGCACAGAGTTCAAGTTCTACAACTGCAGTGCCCACCAACTGTAAGCATACCTCAGAAGGAGCCTTACCTGGGTCTGGTTGTGGGCATGGGGTTCTACTTCCTCCTCCTGTCTTAAGTTCCTGTGGGCAAGACATGTGGTAGTCACCTTGAAGTCTCTCTCAAAGACACCTGGCGTGTGTACATTTGAATAGCATTTAGCACAGTCCCTAATCCTGCTTAATCTCCTTTGGCCCCTCCCCAGCATACCCTTTTTTCAACTCTGAAGCCAAGATGGCAAAAAGAGGGTCATGACCCAGGAGCTATAAGAAAAGGTTTCCATTTTAGACAACTGCCTATGGTTTGGAAGGTGGAGACTGACAGGGAGTAGATTGGCCCCTCCCCAGCATACCCTTTTTTCAACTCTGAAGCCAAGATGGCAAAGAGGGTCATGACCCAGGAGCTATAAGAAAAGGTTTCCATTTTAGACAACTGCCTATGGTTTGGAAGGTGGAGACTGACAGGGAGTAGAATTGGGACAGGGCTCCCACATTAGGGAGTCAGTTGCGAACACAAAGGAATTCAGACATGAGGGCAGCAGACTCTCTCTGCACCCAGTGAAAGGGTCTGGGCTGGAAGAGGCATAAGAGGCTTTAGTGTGAAACAGAACTCAAGTTCTGAAAGACAAAGGAAAACAAAACAATTCACACCACCAGCCTCCAAGGCAGCTTTATCAGGGACCACCTGTAACCACTGAAAGCCAGCAACAAATACCCTCCAGGGTATACCAGGCCAGGAGGGAGCCACCCCAATTTTGAGCACAGGGGGCTGGGAGTGGTGCTCAGGCAAAATTCAAGGTCAAAGTGGAGGACAGAGACCGTCCTCATTTCTTTTGGTCCTCTCTAGACGAGAAACAGGGCACAGAATCTGAGCATTTACACACTATTCACACTAAGAATAGCGAGGGAAACGTGGGTCTTTATAATAAGGCTGCATGAGGGCTGTAGGACTGAATTCAGTAAGGGGGAGGTCAGTTGCAGCTGTGTGCCACAGAGAGCTGTAACTGAGACAATTCCCAGTGCCTGGGACAGCAGCTACCTGAGACTTACATAATGGGAACTTGGAGTTTGTTCGGTCATTGGTCTGTTTTTATCAATTGCTTGCCAGATTATAAGAGAGTATCAAGACCCCATCAATTAGGGAGCACATGAAATAACATTGACCAACCTAAGCTCAGAAACTAAAGCTATAGGCATGATAGGCTCCACAGTTAAAGTGGGGACTAGATCATCTGCTGGTAAATCCAAGGAATCTAGGCATTCAAATAGTCAAGTATGTAAGCACCTATCCTTTCCCCTTCTCTATCTTTGATTTTCATGATCACAATAATCTTCTGGAGTTCTAATATCTCCACAGTAGTAAGGGAAGCAGATATATCAGAGTCTATTCAGAAAGCTCAATAGATATGCTGAGAAAGATGGAACAGGAAGTAGAAATGGCCAGAGGCAACCAGGGCAGGGTACAGAGACTGAGGCTGAACTAGACAAAAGTCTCCTTTACCCACTGCATTCCAACTGTGCTTGGGAAGTGTAGGCTTCTTGAAGAGAGGACTTGTCAACCTTCATAATGTAATGCAGTGATGACAGCACCTGTTATCTGTGAGAGTACCTGCATCTCCATGGCAATCCAGTGTGATGTCACTGAGTTGTGTCTCTATGGCAACAAAGATGCTGTCACAGGCAACAAGTTTTAGCAGAGAAAAACAAGTCTTCTTGACAGCTGAGATTCCATTGTATTTCTTACCCTTTCCTATTCTTGGAATTCTGTTAAAAGCCTCAGAATCTAGTTTGATGTCATCTTTTTAATATGATAAACTGGGGCACGCAGATAATAAGTGCTACAATGACAATGACAAAATTGGCAAATGGATGAGCTAGGTTTAGCGTTCCAACCAATACCACTGTCCTTCTGTCATGGTCTGTTTTCATTAATTGTTGAATCACAAGATATTATCAAAAGGGACTGAAGAGATGGCTTAATTGTTAAGAGCACTGGCTGCTCTTACAGAGGACCCAGATTTGGTTCCAGCACCCACATGGCAGCTGAGGAGCATCTAAACTCCAGTTCCAGAGGGATCTGACACCCTCTTCTGGCTTCCACCAGCATTGCACATACATGGTGTACTTACATACATGCAAGCAAACCACTCAAACATATAAAATAAAAATGAGTTTAATTTTAAGAAAAGATTATCAAGAACCCATCAGTGAGTCGTGGGGCCTCACGTTAAGATAAAGAGCTACTAAACAATCATGGATGCTGAGGGAGAATAATTTTTCTCCAGGACTAGTTCCTTGAGAGGTTCTCTAATTCCAAGTGGGCATCCCTAAACACTTTACACACGACCACTCAGTGCATTTTATATGTATGTATATTTATACATGCACATATGTTTATGTAACAAGGAAGAGAACAAGAAATCGAGGGGGGGCATGGGAGGAGTTGGTATGGGACTCCAAGGGGAAATAATGCAAAAACAGTACTCATGTATGAAATTCTCAAAAATAAAAAATAAAAATAAAAGAACCCATCAGTGAGGGAGTGCATGAAATAGCTTTGACTTAAGCTCAGAAACTAAGTAACTGCAGACACAACTGGCCTGGGGAAGGTGAGGCCTGTGCTGGCCAGCACATCTCACACTGGGTCCTACTAGCAAGAGACCCCTGGATCAAGCCCCCACAACCCAGACTTAATCAGAAGCCCACCAGGTGGCGCCAGATTTCAGACCTGTTCTGTCTGTACCTGTCAGTACAGTCCTGAAAGGCTAGAAGATGGTGAGGAAGGACAGCACTCTTCCATTACAATGGTCTACACACACAGAGGTCCAAGTGAAACCAGAGAGAAAGCAGCGCTCTCTGTGATAAGAAATGTGTGTGCTGTAGACATAGACTATTGCTCCATCCTGGGGCCACTAGTGATATGGGGCAAAGTATGGTAATTCAATACTGTGAATTCCCCAAGGTCAGTAACACAGGTGCTGAGAACCAACTGCTGATGTGCAAATATTATTGAAGAGGTTGAAATAACAGGTGATTTAAGCTGATCAAAATAATAATGGCTCTTAGCATTGTTCTTCCCCCAAACCATTCCCTATACATTATCTCCTTTGACACCAAACAGCCCTGCGAACAGACAGGAATTTTTATTACAGACAGATGAAGAGACTGAGTAACTTGCTCAGGGTGACCTCAGTGCTGGCAGTGGAAGCAAGCCTGGAATCAGATCTAGTTTCTGCCTCTGTGCTCTTTTGGCTTCTCTGTCTTATAAGCAGTGGTATACCTGTGAATGTTTAACTACCAGCAGTTCATCTATTTTGTAATATTTGCCAATTACTGTGGTTTAAATGCTCCTACCATAGCCATTTTAGTCATGGAATTCCAGCTTGAAAAATCCCAGCTTGAAAAATTCCTCAAAATATAAACCAACTCCAGCACACCACTGCTTTGTGGGTTAGATCATTCCCACTGCAATCCTGGTTTAGTTCTACTTTTCTGCCCTGTGAACATCTTGGATGCAGAATCCACAATTCTCAGTGCTGGAAGATGCTTCACTATTCTGCCCTCTCCAGAGTGAGACCAAGACGTAGGCCCAGGATAATGGTCTGCCCTCTTACTGTCCCTCCCTTGCAGGTGCCTGTCCTGTGTCAACAGTGCTTTCCGCTGCCATTGGTGCAAGTACCGTAACCTTTGCACACATGACCCCACCACCTGCTCCTTCCAGGAAGGCCGGATCAATGTTTCAGAGGTAAGAAGGCTCTCTGTATCATAAAATATTCCAAGAAAATCTGAGCAGCATCCCCCACCCCATTGCAGATGGTCTGTCCTGGATTAACCATCTCTTGTCCTGTCCCATCTTGGTCACCCTGTAGGGTTTCTGCATGTGAGAAATCCGTGATATTATGAAGCGCAAGAAAGTGGCAACAGATGGCCTCAGGCAGAGGCTACATCTGCTCCACTGCCAAGACTGCATTCACAAGCTTTAAGGTGACTGCAAGTTGTGATTAAAAACTCAGAGGAAGCATATCTAAGCAAACAGACTCCATGGTCTGGAAGAGTATAGTGAACAAAATCTATTCTTTGAGCCTAGCCCTTTGCTTGGCTATAGGCTTACTCTACTTCAATAGAACATTCACTCTCAACCATTTTTTCATGCCAACTTTTCTCCCAACTCTAAAATTCAATGATTCTTTGACTCTGCTGTATGACTGAGTGGGTGGCCTTAGAGAGAAAGAAATCCAGTTAATGAAAAGTGCCAGGCATTGCCAAAAGTCCTATTATCTAGTGGAAGTTCCTTCTCTAAAGCCAGGCCCACCTTTGTCATTGAAACAGTGAAATGTCACATTGCTCATCTTTACGTTAACATTCCATTCAGTAATTATTCACCAATGTTGATTTTCTCACATGGTCCTAAAATGCTTCAGCTCCATGAAGTCTGCTTCATTGAATTCCTTTCCTGTGTCCAGTGCTTTTCATGCCCAAGTGTGGCCAGTGGGGACTGGACAATTGAGACTTTGTATACTCATGCAAACACACATGTACATTCTCATTCATATTCTCTCTCTCTCTCTCTCTCTCTCTCTCTCTCTCTCTCTCTCTCCCCCCTCTCTCCCTCTCTCTCCTCTTCTGCCCTTTAATAGAAAATCTACAAAGTTTCTAAAAGAGGGACTGCAGAGTAAACCACTATAGCCTTTCTAGATAACATCTTTCTCCTGTACTGGGCTGCAAGCTTAAGGACAATGACCACATCTTATCTTTAAATCCTAGTCCTTTATCAGTGAACATTTGTAGAATGCATACACAGAAAACAGTGATGAGCACTGGCCTCTGCACCTGAGTCCAAGTGATGGGAATTGTGCGACCTGTCTAAGGTATTTTAAAATGGAGTTTCTTGGGTCTCTCAGCATTGACAATTGTGGTGGTTACATCTATGGCTAAGCATAAGAAAATAGACCTTGAAAACTTGCTGAACCAGATACACCTGCCATTGAACAGCTTACCCTTTCAGAAATGATAAATAGTAAGCAGAGCAAAAATACTGTATATTGAGCCAGGCATGGTGGTGCACGCCTTTAATCCCAGCACTCGGGAGGCAAAGGCAGGCAGAGCTCTGTGAGTTCAAGGCCAGCCTGGTCTACATAGTGAGTTCCAGGACAGCTGGGGCTACAGGGAGACCCTGTCTCAAAAAGACCAAAAAAAAAAAAAAATACTGTATATTGAAAGGAAGAGATAGTCCCATAACTAGTATTTAAGGCAGACCTGTCCACAGCTGCCTCTTCATGGACACTGGGAATTAATTTCAGGCCTGAGATTCCACAGTTTAAAAAGTGTCTTCTCAGAAAAAGAGCCTAAGCTGAAGGTGTGGTGCAGGGTTAGCCCAGGCTGGGAGCCAACAAAAGAATGGCTTTAGGAAGTGAGCCACAGGGGCTGGTCTGAGGTGACGATGGGGCAGAAGATTGTAATCCTTGGTCTTAAAAACTGACCTTTACTCTGTCCACTGCAACTCTGGAGTCCTTTAATAACCTGGGTGGAGGAGAGGCTGGTGCAGATCAGGACAAAGAGTGACTCTCTTTCTGCTGGGGTTACCCTGACAGGCAGATCAGAAGCCCGGAGCCAAGCCTAAGGGTGACCTGCAGCTGGAGCAAGGGCAAGCAGATTGTCACAGAGAGGAAGACAAATAAACTGTGCTGGGGAGGCCTGAGGGCTGAGCCCTAGAAGGCTAATTGGAAGCAGGCCTGGCCCCCTTCACCTCAAGCAGAAACCAGTGAAGCATAGCTCCTCTTGGGCAACAAATGAGAGATTCGAACATTCCAGAGGGCTGTCTGAAGAGAAGCCATTGCCTCCCTGAAACTCAGGATTAAAGGAACACAAAAAGAGCCTGGGGCAAACCTAGAGACTTCTGTCTCCTGCCAGTCTAACTTTCAGTCATTGGTGTCTATGCATTGGGTTGGAGAGCATCACCCCCCACACATACCCCACCCCCATCTCTTTGCTCTCCATTTCCCCATCAGACCGTGTGGGTGGCTGCTCTCTTGTGCTCCTGTAAGTTGGCCGCTGGCTGGGCACTGGACTGAATGGGGACTGTGAAGGAAACCCAGACTCCATTCAGCTGCCTACTTTGCTCAGCAAAGGAGGTAGAGGGCAGTTTCCCTGCTTAGTGGCTGGGGCCACTTCCTCTACTTCCTAAAATACTGCTGAAGCTTCAGCCAGAGCTGACTATATACTTCCCTTCCTATCCAGTGATTCCCAGACTGGACTCTTTTTTAGCTCTGAGAGACCCCAAAGTTTGAAGAATAACAAAATTGCACATGCCTAACTTGGTTAAGGTTGTTTTAGGGGCTAGAAATCCCTCCATTATCTATTGAGGGTTTCTAGAATATCTCTTTTACACATCCAGTAAGCCCCTCCTCCAACTTGAATCAAAATTTCATGGCTGTATACTTGAAGGAAGCAATATATCACTGATTAACACCACCAATTAACATGGCACTGTTAAATCCTCACACATGCGTAGTTTTTCACCTATAATGGCTGCTCTCAATGTACCTTCCCAGAACTGTGCCATCAGCATCACCTGCAAACTTGGAGAAATTCAAATTCATGGGTCCCATCCCAGATGAAGCTAAAGATTGAGGACCACCGACAGATGGCATTTCCGTTGAGTCTCCAGACCACACTGTAGTTTCACATAACTCATAATTGACATTTGTAGTAATGAGGATGCCAACAACTTGGGGGTTTTGCCCAAGGCTATGGAGAATTCAGCATCCAGAAAAAAAGCTAACTATTTTGCTCTCTACAAAAAAACGGGACCTGTGAGCATGCTGGTCTCCCAGCCTGGCTATAATTGTAGACATGACTTCCATCTGGCCCCTTTCTGTTGTCATGAAGGTTCAGGTACAGCTGGACCAGCACAAATCCATCTCCACAGATGGAGAGACTTCCCAGGGAAGATGAGTCAGAGGGGCCACTTTCCGAGGTTCATCTGCCCACATCCTTCTCAGAGCTGCTAGGCTAATTCCATGCTTAGTACTGACAAAGGAGAACAGCTGGACCACAGTGCATGCAATCCTGAAATAGGAATATTAGTAGATAACATCTATTCAGTATTTATTATGTGTGCAGCACTTTATTTCTATATAAATTTCATTTAGTCTTGACTACTTATAAAGCAGATTCTATTACATATGAAAACCGTGGTTTAACTTCCTATGTTGATCAAACAAATGCAGATGTCAGAACTCAGGTGAAAGTGGCCTTGCATAGGCTCCCATTTCTGATTCTGCAGCACACACACACACACACACACAGAGAGAGAGAGAGAGAGAGAGAGAGAGAGAGAGAGAGAGAGAGAGTGCTCAGTAATCGTATTAACAGTTGTTAACCCAGCCTGTTCCTGCACAATCTCTACATAACCCTCTTTCATGTAATCTAGTTGTCGGGTGTTACTGACACCATTTTGTGCATGAGGAAACTGAATTTCAGTCAAACCATCTCTCAAGTCCTTTTAAGGTGCTGAGCTGTACCTTCCCTAATCCCTGCAGCGGGCGCACATGTGCACGCGCGCGCACGCACACACACACACACACACACAGCCCTTCAGCTCTCTGATGGGTCACCCAAACCTCTGCCTCCTTGGGCAGGATCAGGCTGCAGCACAGTATTAATGGGCAGTGTGCATGAGTATGTACAAATATAAGCATTGAAAGCTCATCTCCTTTCATGGCTGAACCAGGCCTAGAGAGGTACAGATACATAAATATCTTCTTTACATCCATCCCACGGGAAAGATAGAACCAAATAAATCCGATTAGCTTCCCAGGATGCTGGCTGCTTTCACTCTCTTTGAAGTCCAGTGGGTGAGGATAATGCCATTTCTTCATGGAGAAGTTATTTCGAGGACTAGCAAGGTCCCCATCTCAGAATCAGTCAAAGGACAAGTAAATTGAGTGGGCAGTGAGACCCCAAGACTCACAGGGCTCTGTGCCAGATCATGTCCCCTGTGGTAGTCTTGATTCTTCCCCAGGCCTCAGGTGTTCCCAAACAGAACATCTGTTCACCTTCACCTAAATTGAGGTGCGTGCTGAGGAGGCTCCAGTGAGGGGGGAGACAGAGGAGATGGGATGACCTAAAGTCATAGGGAGGTCTGCAAGGTCGTCAGGGGTGGTCAGTGTTTTAAGACTGTTATGAGAATCTTAACATTCTACAAAAACAAAACATTTATGGTTATTAATGTTCTTAGGACAAGAACATTCCCCCACTCCTCCTCCTTCCTTTCTTTTTTCTCTCTCTCTCTCCAAGCGCACATACCATTATACATCAGCCTTATTTCAGGAAATTCATAAATTAAAATTCTAACCTATATTTTGAGGTTGATTTTTTTCTCAGCTGCTAACTGGATGTGCTTCTCTTTTTCTATGGTATCCCTGGGTTTTCTAAAGTTGTATTTTTTTTTTTTCTGGTTATAAATATGTGAAAGACTGTCAAGAGTGCCTGCAGGGGATGAAAGTCAAAGTGCCTTGGAGAGCAGGTCTGAGTAGGCAACTTGAGCAACCACTCCTCAACAGGACCCATCTGTTCTGGGACTCATTATGATTCTGTCCCTCGGTGCGCTGGCCTGAATCCTCCTGTTATGATCCTGTCCCCCACAGAGGTACCACTGGCCCAAGTCCTCCTATGCAGTTAGCTCACAGGCAGGGATAACCCAGGTTACCCTGGAGGTCTTCCCAGCCATCCCAGAGAGGTCTCTATGGGAAATTCCCCTGAACCCAGCTCTGTGCAAATCTTCACTCTCCTCAATATTAAGGCTGTGCCCTCGGTTATCAAAGAGATGAAAAACTGTGGCCACTCTTAGCCCCCCTTGGGAATCAAACTTCTTCTCAAGTCTCCCTTATCTCTTACCAGCCTCCAAAGTTTGAGCTAAAAGGAAACTTTAAGATCCTTTTGCTGTGTTCTTTATTTTCACTTTACATTCACCCTCCTCCAAACAGTGGCTAAGAATCCACTACACATCTGACATAAGATGAAGACTGGAGATGTGGGATGGAAGGGTACCTCCTAGGCCTTAAGAAGCCCACAGCCCAGCAAGAGAAATTAATCCACAGAAATTGTGACTCCCTGGATTTAGTGCAGTTGTGGTCAAATATTCACAGTCCTCCCTGAAGCCAGTGCAGGAAAGGGTCAGGGAAGCCTTCCAAAGCCAAGTTTGAAGGCTGGGTAACAGAAAAGATCAGTTATCTGAATATGGTACAGTAGGGCAGAGGTAGAAGATGGCAGAGATAGGTAGGAGTTGGTCTTTGATAGGGAGAAGAGCATGTTCAAAGGCCCAGCAGAGGAGCCAGTACGAGTGCTAGTACCCCCGAACTAACCATGTGTTCAGTATGGCTATACGATGATGCAGAAAAATCAAAGGGTTCAGAGGTAAGCAAAAGTCAGACCAAGATGGGCTATTGCTCAACACAGCCTGTGATACCCAAGACTTCTAACAGAGATGACCTTGGAGACTATCTATACCTTGCAGGGCGTCCAGAAGTTTTAGTACTCGGACAGTAAATGCCATCAGGATCCTTTGCAGACCTTGTAGCCATGTGAGCCTCCATGCATTCCCAAAGTCCCTCCCTCTAGGAACTAGTGTCCAGAGGAGAACAGAGCCTCCTACAAGAACTCCCCTAACTCATCCCTGGAGATGATCCTATGTGGAGATGTTTCCACATCCCCATCACTGGGGCCACAAGGCTCAGATCTTCCCTGCAGGAGAGAGGGGAGGAGGAGACAGCAATCAGTATAGTGTTGCCTCTGCCTTCAGACACAGAACTGAGGAAAACTGATCTAGCTCTCCCTCTTACATCCTTCTCACAGCCCCTCCCTACCCCACTTCCCTGTTTGGGTTTTGTTTTCCAAAGCAACATGGCATCCATGCAGGGCCTAATAATGAAATGCGATAAAAGGCCAGACTAAGAATTTAGAGCATGGGGGGTGTCCCCTCCTGGAAACCCTGGCTCAGCTAGAACTGGTAGGCCAAGGCTGCAGATAATGACTGCCTCCGGCATTGGACAGTGGGAAGGACTAAGAGGCTGGGGAATCAGATGAAGCAAGAGGTAGAGACATGAACCCATGGAGGCCGTTTCATCCAGTGTCCAGAGATAAAATCCACAGCTTGCCATACTGGTGCTTGAAAATTCCCAAAATTGTAATACACACTCTAGATCCAGGAATACTTGTAGGATAGTGTTGGCAATATCAAAGCCCAGCAAGTAAGAGCGATTTCATTCTCACACCGACTCAACATACCCCTTGAATGAGGTGTAGCCCTTCTCATGGGTGGCCCACTGGGGAACAGGAAGGATCCTGCCCCTGCTCTGACTCAGGTGAGTAGGAAGCTGTAAGTGAAGGACTGATGGAGATCTCTGCTTACTTACCAGGACTGTCCCCAGTTGGTGCCCACAGAGGAGATTCTGATCCCAGTCGGGGAGGTAAAACCAATCACCCTTAAGGCCCGAAACCTGCCCCAGCCCCAGTCTGGCCAGAGAGGCTACGAGTGCGTGCTCAGCATCCAGGGGGCTGTTCACCGGGTCCCCGCCCTACGCTTCAACAGCTCTAGTGTGCAATGCCAGAACAGCTCAGTAAGTATCTCTCATGCATGCCCTCTAGGGTCACAGGAAGCACCCACATCCCCAGGGACAGAGGAACTACAGGCACCCTGTGCTGTGGTGTCGGGAGAGCCCTCATGAGAACCCTGATGATAGAAGTTGAGATTTGGGGTCCTTTCTGAAGTTAAAGAACACCTTTTTGCCACTGGGGAAATTTCTGCCACAGGGAATCAGCCCCACCCAACACCATGTCCCCATGCAGTGTGTGAGAACATCAGAGGGGCATCGCTGGGAGGAAGAGTGCTAGGAGGTAAAGGATGAGGGGAGCATGAAGCTGAGTATTTCAGGAGCCACAAGGGTTAAACCTGCCTAGAATGGCGGACAGAAAGCTCGAGGTGTTTAATTATAATTCTACCCAGAGAAGACCTTTTCCTCTGCCAACTCCTGTCTCTGACTGTGGAGGGTCAGCTCAGAGATGGGGGACAGACAAAGGTGTTGAGGGAAGCTAATTCGCCTGTGAGTGATAAAGAGAATCTGGGCCTCTTATCAGGGAGCTGTCAGATTCTGGGGTCACAGGCGCTTGATAGAATTTGTAATTGGTGGACAACCCCCAAGTACACGGGGAAGGCAGACTGAGGAAACTGGACAACAAAGGAAGGAGGTGGGGAAGAGTGGGCCAGAAGCCGCAGCTGACGACATACCCTCCAGAGCTAAGTGGCCAGTGACTCAAGATGGGCAGCCACCCAGAGGAACTGCCCAGAGTACTTCATCCAGTGCAGTGAGTGCTAAGCCACCCAGAAGGATAAGGAGGGCTTGAAATTCCTCCATGAGGTCAGCAGAACAGGAGGCTCAGGCCCCAGCTGGAGGCCTTTCCTGGTTGGCAGTGAGGCATAAAGGAAGCTGTGGGCTTCTCCCTAGTGGACACTGATCCAATTAAGATCCATTTACAGAAGGAGAGGACAGACTAGAGAGTGCCTGCCCCATAAGCATGAGGACCTGAGTTTAATTTCCTGGTCCTCACATAAAAATGCCGGGCACAGTGACATCTGTTATCCTAGTGCTGGGGAGGAAAATGATGGGCAGATCCTTGGAGTGCATTGGCCAACCAGTCTAGCCAAATCGATGGGCTCCAACTTTGTCTTATAAAATAAAGATAGTGATCAAGGAAAACACCTGATATCAACCTCTGGTTTCCACACACACACTCACATGCACACACACACAAATGCACATACATCTACACCAACACAGAAGAACTCACCAAACATACACACATGGGGGGGAGGAGAGAGGAATTAGGTATCACCCCAGGGCCTTGCCAATCTCTCCACAACTGTTGCCACATGCACTGTTCCAAGTTCTAGGTGTGAGAGAGTCGCAAGGGCATTGACTTTGATTCCCCAAATACACAGACTATAAGAGAGAGTAGATACACCTATGAAAGAATTCACAACAGTTCCTGGGAAGTGCCAGGCTGAAGACAGACAGTGCCTATGCTAGGGATCTGAGGCTGGAGAAGACTGTCAGGAATATCATAGGGGACACAGGGAAAATGGATGAGAGCTGAAGTAGAAGGACAAGGATCAACTGAAAGGATGGGATTGTGGGGAGAGAGCAGCATTCCTTATGAAATAGAAAATCAAATAAGACACAGAGAGGGGCTTCAACAAGTATCTTAGAGCTGGTGGATTCAGCAGTAGAAAAGAATGGAAGCATAAGCCTTTTCAAATTACAGAGAGCACTGAAGACCATACCAGAGGTTTGGGCTGACTCCTGGTGGCCTTAGCAACTAGAAGTGAGGAACAAGGTGTCATTGGGTTCCTTTGGTTGCTCTGAACCCTGGCTCCCTGAGACAGACACCTTGAGAGACATGTGCCCCTCTCCCTGCAGTATCAATATGATGGGATGGACATCAGCAACTTAGCAGTGGATTTTGCAGTGGTGTGGAATGGAAACTTCATCATTGACAACCCTCAGGACCTGAAAGGTAAGCAGCTGTTTCTGGGTGCAGGTTTGATCTTTTCATGACCCTGGAGAAGGCTGGAGCTGGACGGATCAGAGCAGGCTGCTGCTGTGCCTTGAATTTCACACTCTGTCAGTAGAGCTCTTCAGAGGATCCTAAAGCAACATTCAGAGTCATCAAAGGAGTCCTTTTGGGAGTTCTGCTTTATTACAGCCACCAGGTGACTGCCCATTCATCTGCACTGTTCTCTGCCTCCTGGTAGCTTTGAAGTGTCTATGGAACCTGACCTAGGAGAACAGCAGGCAGAGCATCCTGCCAGCTTCCTTGGAAATGGAAATATTGTTTCCATGTGGGCTTTCCTTCCCCTGTCCTCAGCCCTGGTCACCATCACTGTACAAAGAAGTCTTGTAAGGCTGTGCCTCTGGTCCTGAGTGGGTGAGGGATTCACATGCCAACTCAGGCTCACATCTGGAGCAAAGAAGCTCAGTAAAGGGTGCAGGAGGGGATTCCATGAGGGTTCTGTCCTGTAAACTCACATTGCACTCCCCCAAGAGGCAGGCACTGACAAGTGTACCCTTGGGACAAGGGCAGCCCTTCAAGATGACCCAGCTACTGAGTGCTCCTGTATGAGGTACACATTCAGCAATTCATTTGAAATTGTTTTTATTATTTATTTCACTAACTCTAAATGTGTACTATGATTATTTCCATCCTATAGATGAGGAAGTTGAGATGCAAAGAGGCCAAAAGTATCAGATACTAAGAGCCAGGGTTTGAACCAAGACAGTCTTATTTCAGAGATAGCATGCAAGCTTAACATACCAGGATCAGGACCTGCTGCCACTGCTGGGGGGGCTCATGGCATGATTTGAAACCTCTCCCCCACAATGAGCCACATCCCATTACACTTCAAGTAAATGGAGTTGTTACAGCCTCTGCTTCAACCCCTGGGTCACCCCTGGCCACTAAGGCCAGAGCAGAGTCTGCCGGTGCTTCAGCATCTATGGGGAGTTGCTTGTCCCAGGTGCACCTTGAAGTCAGTGCTGCGTAAACTGCAACAGAGACTTACTTCAGCCTTACTTCAGTTGTTTCTGTTTGTCTCCTATGTCTTGTTCCTAGGCTGGATGTTTTTTCACTACTAGGAGACAGAAGATATTTTCCTTGTTACAAGCTAGGTCCCAGAGCTTATACCCAGAGCCTAGATCATGTCCAAGCTGCTACATCAGACTCTCCTGGCATCTACAAGATTCCTTGGGTGAATGGGCAGCCCCAGATTGCCTTCATACTTGTGTCTGCCAGATTCTGAGTGTTGGGAGACACTGTACGTTATATTAGGAACAGTGGGCCACTGCTTTTAAGGACTCAGGTTAAGGTCTCCCCAGGACTCTACAAGCCAAGTCCCACTATTGATGTTTCCACTTGAACCATGTGAGCTCCAACTAATTATGGCACCTCTCCATGTCCTAATGTCCTCATGTAGAGGAAAAACCTGCTTAGGGTCTTCCCAAGAATCCCAGGAGCTCATGGCTAGAGACTGTATGTCCCAATTTTTTAAATGCTTCGTAGGTACTTGCTCATTTTCAGATTCCCATTCCTGCCCTGTGCCTTGGAGGCCACAGCTTGAGAGTTCTTCAGACTTAGGGATCTGTGTGATCTGTGCAGCTGGGACAGGGACACTGGACAGAGCAGAAGCCGAGGAGGGACACTGTAGAAGAATGAAATTGCCTCTCCCTGGGGGCACGTACCTGATCTCCAGCAGAGACATATAGCTGGGTCACGAAAGGTTATGTCACTTTAGCCAGAGGAGATGAAAAGTGACTTTCTGGGTACAGTCATCCTTCAGTAGCCACTGTGAGGTTATTTCCAGGACCCCCAAAGAAATAGTATTTACACATAACCACACACATCCTCCTGTATAGTCTAAATCATCTATAGATGATTTACAGTGTACAATAGAATGTAAATGCAGGATGGAGTTGTGACATGCTATTGTTTACTAAGGAATAATGACAAAAATCAGTCTATACATGCTCAGATGCAGCACAAGTACTTTTCCCCCACATTTGGAGGCTGAATCCATGAGATGACTATATTCTCCTTCTGAAGAATTCTCTTGGATCTCTGAATTCCAAACACTGACAGACAAGGACTAAACCCTTGGTTCATGTCACAGCTCCACTGGATGACTAGATTCTCTGAGGCTTCTAAGTCAGTAGGGGAAAGAGCAAAGTAAAGGATCTGCAGAACGAACATGTGACCTGCTAAAAACTAGTTTGTCTTTTTTGTGAACATGTTCTTCATCCACAGGGCTGTGAACAGAGCTGCATCACTCTGTCCTTACTAGCATTCCTCCAGCCACTTGGACTTTCTTGTGTTTTAATCGAACATGTGACCTGCTAAAAACTAGTTTGTCTTTTTTGTGAACATGTTCTTTATCCACAGGGCTGTGAACAGAGCTGCATCACTCTGTCCTTACTAGCATTCTTCCAGCCACTTGGACTTTCTTGTGTTTTAATCTTATTATTATTTTATGTGTATGAGTGTATTGCCTGTGTGTATGTGAGTGCACCTGTGTCATGCAATGCCGCAGAGGTCAGAAGAGGGCTTCGGATTCCCCTGGAACTGGAGTCAAAGATGGTTCATAGCTGCCATGTGGGTGCTGGGAATCGAACCTGGGTCCTCTGCAAGAGCAGGCAGTGCTCTTAACTGCTGAGCCATCTCTCCAGCCCCAACTTGGACTTTCTTTAAGTGCAAGCTGTCTCTGTTCCCAGACCCACACCATTTCCAGTGTGCCTACTGAGACTCCTTGAGGGGCCCCCATCAGCAGCATAAGCCAGAGAGAGCATCGGGATTCACGTTTGGGACTCACACCTGAAGTAGGCTGGGAAAGGCATTTTACCTCTTTGAGTTTCATTTTTACCTGCAATAAAGAAATGGTTCCACACCTGTCAAAATGTGAGCGATGTCAGCCTAAGAGTACTGCTGGAGTTCAAAGGGAAGATAATGGGCGTGTGTAGGGCATCTGATACATCACAGACCTCCTGAGTACTCACTGTACCGCATCTTATTCAAACCTCCCAAAACCAATGATTAGCTCTATGTTGGAAGTAGATAAACAAGGTTCAGAAAAGTTAAGTACTTTTCATACTTCTAGGAAGCAGAGAAGCCACAATTAAAGCCAGGATCTGATCCAATCTAGAAGCAGAAACTTTCAAATCATTTTTCGTCATGCCTCTAAATGACTACCTACTCAATATTCATTCTCCACATGTTACTCTTGCAGTGTTGATGATCAGTAGTATTATCTGTGGATGGGGACAGGTATGCTGCACCAACAAGCAGAGGATATGTTGATGAGCGTCTGAAGTCCCATTCATGACAGCCACCCTTTCTTTTCAGTACACCTCTACAAGTGTGCAGCCCAGCGGGAAAGCTGTGGTCTCTGTCTCAAGGCTGATCACAAGTTTGAATGTGGCTGGTGCAGTGGTGAACGCAGATGTACCCTCCACCAGCACTGCCCCAGCCCTTCCAGCCCCTGGCTTGACTGGTCCAGCCACAATGTGAAGTGTTCGAATCCACAAATCACCGAGGTAAGTCCCCAGCTTCCAGAAGAGGCGGGGGTAACCAGGACCATGGGAAAGAAGTACATGTGAGAACTCCCGGAGAGAATATATGTAATGTGGAGCTGTGGAAGGACTCTTGTGTACATCCTAGTGGCCTGTGCATGGGTATAAGTGACAGGTGTGTGGTGCATGCACTGGTGCAGTTCATGATGTAGATGTATGTCTGTGTGCCTGTACATATGAAGGAAGCAAAGCCACCCCAGCCACCCTGCTAGGCTGGCTGAGCGAGGTAGGGACAAGATGTTGGCTCCATAGTAGGAACATTTCTGAAAGCAGGTTTAGCTTTCTCAGCAGAAATGTTATTTCAGGAGCTGCAATTAGTTCAGAGGTGCAGAGTTTGAAACAGAAGGAGTAAAGACAGGCCGTATGTTAGCTGCACACCATTTCTCAGGAACTTTTCTCAGCCCAATTTATTTTGTGCATTTTCATGGGAATAAGTAAAGTAATTAATTATAGTAGAAAAAAATGATGCTTCCAAAATAGCAAGTTGCAAAGGAAGATGAACAGGTGATGTGGGGAGAAATAACAACTGCTGGGCTTGAGTGACCCGGAGAGATGCAATTGTGCTTACGTGGTCGGTCTGTGGACCTGTCATGCTGCGGCCCCCCAGTCAATGACTGTCATTTTGTTTTGAAACTAAATTGTGTATTCCTTATAAGGAACAAAGGCCTAGACAGGTAACACATTGGTCTCTGGCACTTAAGACAGCTGAGAGAGGCTGTTTTTATATCTGTCTTTCCTAAGCCATTCCACTGCCCCATCCCTTCCTCATTTTTCCCGAAGTCACCCCACTTCTCCTTATATCACAGGATAGTAGGAAATTTCTTGAGCTCCTGTCTGATCTAATCACAGCCTCTATTCAGGTTAAGGAAAACAAAACCCTCAAGATCGAAGGGATGTTGTAACCTTCAGATGGATTATTTGAATAGGGAGCAAATATTTATTTAATGTGCTTGGCTTTGATACATTTAATCCCTACAACTGTGGGAGGCTAAGTATTCACTGCTCCACTGCACAGATGAAGAAAATGAAGCACAAGTTCACATAGCAGATAAGAGACAGTGCCAGCATTTAAACTCAGATTTAATTATAAAAGTATCATAAATGCTCAATGATTTGCTTAAGTAGCATAAAACAAGTAGTACTTCCCCTTCTTTAATATCCATTCCATTGCTGGTATCTATCAGATAGCTGTGCCCACCCCCTCCACATGTCCTACTTACCATGTCAAGTGCTCCAACCTCCACAACACCAAGGTGAATCCCCCAGGTTCCAGAGGAGTGGACCCAGGACCGTGGGAAGGAAGTACAGTGAGCCTTTGTGCTTGAGTACCTGGAGCAGAGTGCATTTAATCTGGAGGGGAGAGAATGTCTGCTGCATCATTCTTTGACATAATGGGCTTACGCAGGTACAGATCCTGCCCCACAAAGAGGGGGTGGCTTTGGTACCACCTTATACTCAGATGTGGGCAGTGGCTATGACTGCTGACTTTTTCACTGGACCAGAATGTTTGTAAGGGGTGTTGGCATGCTCCAGCCTCTATTCTCAGACAACTAGTATCACAAGTTATTTGGAACTTTGTGGCTTCTCCATTCTAGTGATTTCTCCCAAACACTGGCCTGAGAACGTGCACTGTTCTGTGCAATTTGTCTTTCTGCTGTGGTTGTCGGTCTCTGTACCTTTCAGCAGTTGTGGTGCCTGGAGCTTAAATTCTAGAGGGAATTGATCGTCAGCACCTCCTACCTCTGCAGGCTCTGGAACTGAACAGCCTGTTGTCTGTCTGCTTCAGAGGCTTCTACAAGCCCCAAGGCAAGTTGCTCACAGGGAAGCTTCTGCCTCTACCACCTACCCTGATCATTGACCGGGGATTGACAGGCTGCTCGGTTCACAGAGGACACCCAAGTTACAGGAGGCTAATTAACCCCCTGAGGTAATTAGGCTGTAATTGATTTTGCTACTGAATGTATCTGAAGGAGTAGGAGCTCCAAGGTTCCTGCTGCTGATTTTCATGTTGAGGCTGTTGAGACATGAAGGGCGTCTTTGGGAAGAGACATCTGTGTTATGCTCCAAACCACTCAGTGATAATCACTCTGGACGGGACGTATGGGAGGGAGTACCTAAGCCTGAATGAGTAACTGATCCTATTTTCTTTCATCTGTATCTCTAACCCCCACCAGACGCTCCTTCATCTATGTCGTTTTCTGATTCTTTAGTTTGTCACTTTGGAAATAATTTCAGATTTATAAACGAGGTCCAAAAACAGTGACTTTTGGGGCTGAAGAGATGGCTCAGTGATTAGAAGCACTGGCTGCTCCTGCAGAGGACTGGGTTCCTTTCCCAGCACCCACATGGTGGCTAACAACTGTCCTTAACTCCAGTTCCAATGCCCTCTTCTGACTTCCATGGGCATTGCACAACATGGGCGCACTTACACACATGCAAGCAATACACTCATATACATAAAAATAAATAATATGAAAGTTACTGTTTTAATTTTACCTTCACCCAGGTTTTCCAAAGTTACCATCTTACAGAGCCATAGTACAATCATCAGTTAACATCAACACAGGAATACCATCCAACGTACCGGCCCTGTTCACATTTTCACAGTTGTCACAATGACATTCTTTCTCTGATCAGAAATCCAACAAAGTCTAATCTGGGATGTGATGTTCCACTGTGACATCATCATGTCCTTTTAGTTCTTTAATCCATGGTCCTAATATTTTCCTTTAATGACCTTCATGGTGTTAAAGCGTCTAGGCCAGTCATGTTGTCCAATGTCCCTCAATTTGAATACATCAAATGCTGCCTCTCTTGATTTAATTCGGGTTATAAACTTTTGGCAGGAAGCACTACAAAGAAAAGAGCACAGAAGCCAACTAGAAGGGGATCTGCATGGTCATATCTGAATTACTTTCAGCAAGAAAATCATGATCTTCACTGATAGAATGGAGTAAGAATCCAGTCATTGCTGGTGTGAACAAACATTTAATTTGAATTTGGGTGTGCTTATTTATACTAGAATCCCCGCTAGTAAATACAGAATTGTGGAAACAGAAAGTCACCATTTGTGATGTGCATAGTAATAATTGTTGGCAGGATGGTCCATGGATGCAAGTAGGAATATGTGAAAGTTGATGAGAAGTAGAACACTTACCCAGTTCTGAGCTCTCTTCCCATAGATGATTAATTACACTGGAAACAATAGTGACTTCTCGGTGAAGAAATCTGATAGACTTCACCTTAACCAAAAGATCAGAGTTAACGTCCCCAGTAACAGGAAAAAAAGAACCCTGTACACCTCCTGGTAGAATGTCCCTTAAAGACCACAACCTCTTTTCTATGGCTTTTTTTTTTTTTTACAAGAATGTATGATTTGTTCAAAGTAATCTTTAAGAGGAATCAACTCATTCTCTTCAGCTTTCTTGGCTGTTTCTGCTTTTTTATAAACCTCATAATTACTGAACTTCTATGAATTAACACTCTTATAGATATCTCCCTCATCTTCAGAATATGTCTTGTCCTTAGTGCCATCACTTAGGGCAGCCAACAAAAGCTACTTATTTGATAATCTTTCTGGACGGGTGAGAAGAAAGGGATTTACAATGACCTGTATCCAATCCTCAAAAAAACTGGGGCTTAAAGTGGTGTTGCCCTGCCTTTGAGCAGAGAAATAACCTTGAAGAAGCTATGCTACAGGGGAAAATGTGGGCTCGTGAGCAGTTAGATGAACAGCTATGTTCTTCCTTAAATCCTCCTTACCCTACTGTCTCCATAGCAATGAAACCCACCCCTAGAGACCCATTCATTATTGAAGCTTCATGTAGGACAACTTGTACAGCCTATTGAATTTCCCAGTTTGTATAAACCTCAGGTTAGGACCCCCTCAGGACTCACTGTCTGCTCCTTCTCACCAAGTCATGGTAGGATAATGATGCTGTCCCAGTGGGAAGCCTCCAAGGCTGCTTCTGTTTCCAGCTGTCACCCAGGAGTCTGTACACATGTCACCTGTTAACCCTAGGAACAGGACACATGTTGAGAACTGGAAAGCCCACAATGTGCCTGGCCCACCATGGTTCTATTCTCCCCTGGGCCACGAACCCAAGACCTTAAAGAGGAGGCTATTATTAATTCCCACAAGAGACATGTTCCAAGAAGCTGTGAAAAGACAGGATCTAACAGAAAGGGAAAGGAGACAGACTGTATTCTCAGGAAAAGAAATGTGAGAAAGGGAAAACGACTCAGAAATGCATGTGACAAAGGTCCTGACTCCAGTCTCATGTATTTCCTAGGGTCGTCATAAGAAAGAACCACAGATAAGGTGTCTTACACAACAGAAATATATTCTTTCAGTGGTCTGGAAGATACGCGTCCAAAGACAAGTCTGGGTCCCTAGGAGAACTGTGAGGGAGGGTCAGTGGCAGGTCTCTCCCCCAGCTTCTGGGCTTTGCTGACACCTTGTAGATGCCTCACCCAGCCTCTTCCTTCTGTTCACATGGTGACTGTCTCCTTGTATGTCTGTGCTCTAAAATATTTTTAAAGTAAGGATACCAACCAGATTAGATTAATGTCCACTCTAATGATTTCATTTGATATGATCACTTGTCTAAAGACTGACTCCAAGTAAGGTCCCTGTTGATGGTGCTAGGAATTAGAGTTTCAACATATGAAGGAGATGATTCAATATTTCAAAATGAGAATTATAAGCAAAAGGAGAGAATGCCACAGCTCATTGGGAAATAAATTGATTCTCTTATCAGTGAATATTTATTTGGCAACCACTGCGTGCCAGGCACTGTACTAGAGCTGGAGCTGATGGTTGTCAAAGCACTGAGTGAGACCTGGGTGAACACAGCTTCTTCCAGTACAACTCCAGCCTTGAACACTGGCTACCTGGACAAGGCTGGAAACTGCCTTCCCCACAGACCGTTCTGCTCCCTCTAAAGAGTTTAGGAAAGGAACTT